TCTCTCTCTCTCTCTCTCTCTCTCTCTCTCTCTCTCTCTCTCTCTCTCTCCCTCTCTCTGTGTGTGTCTCTCTCTCTGTGTGTCTCTCCCTCCCTCCCTCCGCAGCGAAATTCAGCCTGTAGTGCTCCGACACTGCAGGATCCGCGTTCTGCTTTGAAACGTTTCTTTAGCTACGAGCTCTCATGCTAACGCGAGAGTTCACTCCTCCCACACTAAGAAAACAGGAGGGGAGGGGTCAGCTGAGCTCCTGTGCAGCGGAGCAGAGAGGGAGAGAGACGAAGTAAACCAACAAACAGGAAATTGAAACTTATCGTCCTCATTTTTTTAACCGACCTCAAAAAAAATTATCATGCAATTAATTGATTTATTGTCTATCGCAACAGGCCTAGTTTGACGATTAATCCCCTGGAGTCCCTGGGCACACTTATGTCCTAGTCACATGACCAATTTAGTGGGAAAGATTTGCTCTTTATAAAAATCTGTTCCAAATTTTGTCAAAATTACAGACTTCAGGTTGTACATCAATTTTTAAATTGTGTTGATAGATAAATAAATTACAGAACTTTTTTTAAAAAAAGTTGGTCATATCTGAAGCGTAGAGGAGCACCAACAGTGCTGACCGGGAAAATCTCCAGTCAGTCTGCCTGCTGGCATTAATCGTATTAATCGTCAAGTGCCAAAAAATAATCGGTTAACGTTTTTCTGACGATTAATTCCACTCGATACAATTATGCCCAACCCTAGTCGATCATCAGATAATGTCCAAGATTAACCTTCAGGGTGGATATAGCTCGCTAGCAGCCTCGCACCGAGGACCTAGTTGATGTCATCATTTACCCAGAATGCTTTGCGTGTAAATAAAATGGCCCCATCCGTGTTAAAATATATTTTTAAAAATTTACAAAACTAAACAGTCTACAGTATTTTTACAGTCTTTATTTTACAGTTAAAATAAATGTTTATCAGATAAAGTTTAATGTTACAACTAATCGTGGATCCCTTTAATGATAAACCAAATGTTTTTTAAGTGTTACAATCCAGTTATATACGGACAATACTGATCTGTAAATACTGTGTGGTTTCTTCTCACTGACTTCATGAATCATTCTTACATCTTAATACCAAAGAAACCCGTTTGAATGTTTGTTTGTTTTTTATAAATCAGCCAGCAGAGGGCTCAAGGCCAAAAGTTTAAGTGAATGGAGAGACTTGCTGTGGTGAATCAGTTCAAATTTCTTGTTTTTTTCTTTGACTTAAACCTTACATTTAAGCAGCATATTAAGATTAACGTTTTAGACAATCTTTTGATGTTCATTATTGAAATACTGCATGTAAATATAAGATCGTAGACATTGCAGATTATTAGATACCGTATTTATTCATGTATAATACTAGAAATTTAACCCTAAAAATCATCCATAAAGTAGGGGGGTTGTATTATACACGGGTTATTGGTTTTTAGATTTTTTATGCTTTTTAAGCTCAAAAATGATGATCGTATTATACTTGATTGTATTAAACATGAATAAATACGGTACTTTGTGATCTAGCTTTTATTTTTAGGGTTTTTATTGGGCTTCCTTTTCCACTGTTAAACTCTTGTATTCAGATGTGTAAAACTGGAATAAACTTCAGATCTCAAACAAGAGGGGACTGAGTTATAGTAAGACAGAGAGCAGAGTTTGGGTGAAAGTTGAAATCAGAAGAACACACAGAATAAACTACCAAGATTTGTCAGAGACTAACAATTACTCAAATTTTAGAACAAAACTTGAACTTTTGCTAAAAAAAATACTTACAAAATAAGCCTATTCAACCCTGTAAATTATAGTGTGATGGTTATTGTTTCGTTTTGATGGATTATTTTATTACTTGCTATTAGAGATTGACCGAGACAGGTTTTTGAAGACCGATACAGATTTTTTTTTACATCAGTCTAACCGATAAGCCGATACGTGCAGCCGATTTTATTTTTTGGCCGATTCTTTAAGCCGATAATGCATTTTCTTCCTCCATTAACATGATAAAAATAAAAACGATAACAAATGTTACATAGGTCTCAATAAAAACAAACAAACAAAAAAAAAACATTTATTAACTGAGCCTTGTCTGATGCAGGCTGAGTGAAGTGGTCAGTGTATCTTTTGGTCATTAAATTTTCATTTTGGAAACGGGTAACAAAGTCAACATCAATGTTGACTTTGTTTTTGTTGCAGCAGATAGCTGTCCTACAATGATTGGAAATGAGCATCAGAAGATTTTGTGCTCTGCATGATCTGAGGAGAAAAAGATCTGTCAGACGCAGAACAGGAAAGCACTTTGATTTAGTCTATATATGAGGTAACCATCTATATTTATGTAATGGAATGTTCATTAAATAACTTTGATATTGCATGCACCCTTCAGATGAAAAACAGTTTATTATAGGGATACAGTAAGTTGCCACGACCTGTCATGGAATATGAACAAACAAGGCTTTTTTCATTTCTGTTTTTAAAGTAATTTTCTTTTTTGCTATCTGAAACAGAAAGTGAAACTCAAATATTTTAAAATTTTGTTCATCCGTTTTTGATACAAAGAATGAAAAACGCTTTGTATTTTAATTTTAATTTCTATA